GGTGAGATTTCTACTTTCACTAGTTGTTTGTCTGAGTGAGAGAGAGGTACCTAATTATACTCACATCCTTACCTAGTTAAACATCATTTAAGTGCTTCCTTCTAATAAGTCAAGAGCATTATATGTATAAAAATATGTAAAACTTACATGTGAGTGATGACATTAGTTTAGTCTCACATTAGTTGCCAGGCATTGTTTAAGACACATATAGTAATACATCTTTCTCTCATCAATATATTATCTTTCTCATGCGTGTACAAGCACTCCTTTGTACCTAATTGGCCATTAGTGATCCCGAAGGGGAGTGATACATATGTTCCCCATTGACTAGTCATTTGCCACATGAGCCCCTAGCTCGTGGCCCTCCCAACTATGCCTTTGAGCTAGGTGTAGATTCGATAAATTTTTCCCTTTTTTCTAATTTTTTATTTATTTTCATTTTATCTCAAAATCATCATTATAAAAATCATATAAATTCACAAAAAACACATAATTACCAAAGATATTATTATTTAATAATTTTTTTTCTCAACTTAACATAAATATAAATATATTTATCATGAGTTAAGGCTTAAAATATATTATTAGTAAATTATTAACTCATGATAATAAATACTTATACTTATTAACTATCATGAGCAACAAGTAATTTTTTTGGCTGCTCAATTGACGATGGGTGGAGAAAGCTAGAAGTAGTGATGTAACCTATTCGTAGTAATTGAATCATACATATTTAAAATTAATAAAACTAGAAAAATACTATTTTTTTCTTTTAAAATTTATATTAATTTTAATCAAGAATGAGCTCCAAAAATAGTAGAAATTTTTTAAGTCAATCACAAGGATGTAAATAATATCGCATCAAGCTTAAAAATATTTTTCAAATAATATGAGTTTATATAGTTTTTAGAATGAAAGATAGTAAGTCAATCTTTTTAAAGTTAGAGAAAAAAGAGAAAAGTCAAGTGCTTACATTAAACAAATGTCATCACCAACTAGAATAGTGATTCGATAGAAAAATAGAGTTCCACCTTGTAATTATTACCAAAATAAAGTTTTAAAGGCTTGATCAATGAAATCAAGATATAAGATACATAATCAATCATAATAAACTAAAGATGAGTTGCAAACTTCACTTTGAGTAAACAACTATTAATTTAATTATTAAATGATTTTAAATAATCAAAAAAAGTTTTGACATCGCAATCATGATTGTTAGAATTATAAGTGTTTGGAAGGTCTCTATGTGGTGTCCACAACCTCGAAGTCTCTTCTTAGATGTACATAGTGTGAGAACTTTCTGAATTCTTATATAAAGCTAAAGATTGATGATTTGAGTGGTACTGAAGTGTCTTCAACTACTATCATTAGATGGGATAGAAGTTGATAAAAATAGTTATCCAAAAATTGTCATGTAATAAAGTGATGATTGTTACAAGTGGTGTGTACGTCATGGAACTTCTTCCTCAAGTATGCACAGCCAAATGATGCTCTTATTACAGTTGGAACACTCTAAAGAGATTGTGATAAGTCTCTTGATAGATCCCTCTAGTCTTAATGACAGCTCATTTGTCCATTAATAGAAGATGCTATTTCTCTCATAAGATTGTCCTTTTTTTATCAAGAATCTTTGGTTAATTTTTCTATCTAGATTATGATAAGTCATTTTTCATTGATGAAAATTTCATCAATGATCAACCAATTCTTACTCTTTCTATTGATTATTGTACTATGGAAAAACTACAAAGTCAAAATAAGAGAAAAATAAATTGGTGTTGATGATCTTTGAAGCTTCTTTGGTCACATGGTCGCATAAGAGAAGTTAAATAGTTTTCTATTATACCCTTAAAATAGTCAAAACATGAAGGGTAATCTTTATGTAGGGGTACTTTTAGAATTATTTCCACCAATGAGACTCGGTAGTGGTTTCATCCCACATCAATTGTTTTGAAGATTCATAGATCTATAAAGAAAATGACCAAGACTACTTAAGGGAGAAGAGATAATAAGTGGTCCACCCCCACACAACACATGTGACAAGATCATATCCTCACCCATGCACCAGTTTTCTCTCATTGACATGAAATAGGAGTGATGCATACTTGATATATGTGTGTTCTTGAGCCACTTGAGCCTAGCTTGTGGTTCCCATCGGTTTTTGTTCACTCACTCAACCATAGGTCCCCCATAGAGTGCCTTTTAAGTTGACTATCGACTTCTAGCTGGCCAATAGGTCCCCCTTTTTCTTCTTTTTTTTCCTTTTTTATTTCATTTTAACCTAAATATATAAATAGAAAAATATCATAATATCACATAGTTAACCATAAATTCATATTAGTTATGTCAAATTCATAAATCTCAATTTAAGGTAAACATACACTTTTTATCATGAGTAAATTCATAAAACTATCATTAAACTAACCATTAACTCTTGATAACAAAGACTTATAAGATAGAAGTCAACAAGATCACACCAGCATAACTCTGGGCTCATTAATGATGGTAGACAAGAAATGCTTACTCCCCTACACATGCCTATATCTAATGTTGAAGTTGAGGGAAATTAGAAGTAGAGTTGGGTAAACTCCTTTGTTCTAGGTAGTTAAAGAATCTCAACTCCTTAGTATGGGGAAGTCACTCTCCACCCCATCCCATATCTCCCACTTCTTCATGTTGTAGAAAGTCAAGTTGACTAGATTCTGAAATGCAACAACTACTCTACTTCTCGGGCTTTGAGTTGTGACAATTAACCCCATTGGTGGGAAGGCTCCACGGGCCCAATCTTTGAGTGCCATCATGATAAGCTTGGAGAATGATGGATCTCTAATCTAGCCAGGAACTAGAGACTAGGGTAGGTCCTCAACACCAATTTGTTAATGGTAGTGGAAGGTTTCAAAGCTTCAAGCAGCTACTCACCACTAATAACCTCTGGAATTGATCTTGAACTACAAATTTCCTCCTCTACTCTCTCTATAAAATTTTTCTCCTCATCCTCATCAGCTACTTTTGACAATATATCTGAATAATTACATAGATTCTAATAACACACTATTTATATTCTATAATTTGGATCATATGGATATATGTTGATTATATTTTGTAAGCATAATGTTTTGAATTCAATATAGGGCACCATTATTATGATTTAATCTATTTTCATATAATCGCCAGAAATTATGCTTAAAGTATGATCTATTAGCTTAGCACATTATAAACAATTAGTTTTCATATCGATTATTGTTGAAAATTTATCTTAAACATATGAGAAGCATTGCACAAAATCAGAGAATTTTCTGAGATTTGTTTAAATGATATTCACTGTCGGTAACGGGCCTCCCTCCTCTTCCCGTCCACCGACTAGTGAGGTTTAAGAAACTCACAAGACAGAGTGCTCCCGTCTCTTTGCCGTATCAGAGCGAAAAATCAATTGAGCGACCGTCAGACAGTTGCTGCCATCGAACTGAGTGATTAGTGCTGCCATCGTCGTCCTTTTCGAAACGAGTTGCGTCCTCTCTCGCGGGGCTTCACTCGTCGCTGGCAAACCTCGAAACCTACTGCGGCGGCTACTTCTGTTTCCTTCTCCTTGCGAGCGAGTGATCCTCTCTCTCTGTCTATCTGGCTCGTGTATCTTGTATCTCTCTCTGGTCGAATCTGAGGGTTGCGTTTCAAAATCGACAAGAATGGAGAGCAGTGGGCCGAGGGGTCGGGGATCCCGCCCCATATCCGTGGGGATCCTCCCCCAAATTCTCAACTCGTGAGTTCTCTCGCCTTATCCCTCTGCTGCTCATAATTTCTATTCTTAGACTTCCAAGTATGCTTCTACGTTAATTAGAGCGAAGTGGCAAAACCAGAACACAATTTCTAGAGGTCGTCTCCTGTGATGTTCTTTTTCTCTGATGTGATAAATTTTCTGCAAAGAGGATGCTCAGGTGTTCAGCTACTGTAGGATTAATTTTTTCAGTGGAGCCGCGTGTGAAGATCTGAATTGATTGATGAAATTGGCATTTTGATCCTAATGCAGCCTGAGAAAATTGGATGGATTGTTTATATCGTAGGTATGGATATATTCCCATGTCCTGAAACGTTGAGATTTATACCTCGGGCGTGATATTTGAAGATCCCTTGATGTGCGCTTATGAGCACATAGCAGATGTGTCGCTTCTGATGGAACGTTTGTCCATGGTTTGCAGCATGACCTTTTCAGTGATATGAGTGGTGTTCATGGGATCAGCTTCTTGAAAAACATGTGCTGAACGATGGACAGAGAAAATTTCCCAGAGAAAAAACTGCACCTAGTGAGAAGATTGGACGAAGAAGCATGGTGCAAGGTGCTACTACGTTTGCAGGATCATTTCAGAAGAGGTCGTCTGTCAGCCAACACATCTTCCGGGTTGGAATCGGTGGGATGTGCTTCAAAAGGTGTTGCAAATAAAGACACTGTTTCATCAGTGTTTCCTTCGTTTGGGGATTTGATATGTTTATAATGATGATGAGATATAGAAGGAATTTGGTCAGATTATTATCTGCATACGAATGCCCAGGGCAAATTGATGGACGCCCACATTAAGGAAATAAATACTGACCTAAGTATTGCTTTTTTGCAGGCCTTCTGCATTTCTCCTGCAACCTTTACAGTCCTGAGCAATGGGGCTCAGCCGCTCACACTCTCCCACCCAAAGGCTATCAAGTCTCTCCAGAGAGGGAACGGATTCGAGGCTCCTTCAGTCCATTTCAGAAGAGGTCTGACAGTGGCAGCGAGAGTCTATCGGCCAACTCATCTTCCGGGTTGGAATCGGTCGGAGGTGCCTCAAAACTCATCTTTCGTGTTGACATGATGTAAATTTTCAGTAGATGAAGATCGGTGACAACCCTCCAGCTCTGGCAAGAAAAACCATGCTACAGACAGACATACATGCAAATCACACTCATGAGCCATGGATCCTAATCGTCCTCCCCTTTACAATGAGCCCCAGAGGCCGGACGCTTGGGAACGCAAGGAGTCAATAAACGAGTTGACCGCCATAGGCAACCAGCAGTTTCTTTGGTCGCTCAGCTGATGATGTGTGGAGAAAGCTGGAGGCGGCAATGGGGCTCAGCCGCTCACACTCTTCCACCCAAAGGCTAACAAGTCTCTCCAGAGGGGGAACGGATCCGAGGCTCCGACAGTCCACTACTGTCAAGCTAGAGAGAGACCCAAGCGACGGGATCGAAGTCAGCGAATCGCACCTGCACAACTCCAGGCTCGTCAATGACGGTAGACATGGAATCTTGCTCAGTCCCCTGCACCTATCGATTTCTAGTACTAGAAGCGAAGGAAACCCAGAACCAGATTCGGGTAAACTCCTCAGTTCTGGGCAGTTAAATAACCTCAGCTCCTTAAGCATCGGGAAGTCGCCCTTCTCCACCCCGTCCCATATCTCCCACTTCCTCATGTTGTAGAAAGTCAACATGAGCAGATTCGGAAACGCAGCAGCTGCTCTGCTTCCCAGGCCTTTACAGAATGACGCGTCGACGGCCTTCACTGGCGTGCCGTCTATGCTCAGGAACTCCAGTTGTGGCAGTTGACCCAGTGGTGGGAGGGCTTCGCAGGCGCAATCTTCGAGCACCACCGTGATAAGCTTGGAGAACGATGGATCTCCGATCCAGCCAGGGAAATGGAGACAGGGTAAGGTCCTTAGCTCCAATTCCTCAATGTTGGTGTAAGGTTTCAGAGCTTCGAGCAGCTGCTCAGCACCAACCACCCTGAGAATTGACCCCAAACCAGAAATATCCTCCTCTGCACTCTCTGTAAAATTTTTGTCCTCATCTTCATCAGCTACGCCGGACAATGTATCTGAATAGTCGCCCGGAATCCATGCTGAGAGGTGTTCCTCCACAACAGGATGTCCTTCATGAGCAGTCTGATTGTCGCCAGCGTCAGTCTCGTCCCGCAGGTTGTAAAACTTTTCGTAGTCTGTCCCTTTGAACTGCTCGGACTTCGCCGCAGCGTCGTCATCATCGGAGCACCAGTTCAGCTTCAGGACCTTGAGAGATTTCTTGTCCTGCATGCTTGCCTCCTTAGCATCCTCTGAATCGACCAAGTTGCAGAGGCCTGAGACGCCGAGCTCCGTCAGCTTACTCAGGGCTTTCAACTCTCGCAGCCCGCACAACTCCTTGCCCTTCTGGAGATCGAGCCCTGCTAACCTCTGAAGGTTTACTAATTTCTGAATCCCTTTCGGCATGTTCACGCGAGGGCGATCATCACCCGTATCAAGATACCGGAGATTAACCAGATTACCCAGGCCGCTGGGCAGCTTCTCCAGCCAGTAGCAGTTCTTCAGCTCAAGAACTTGAAGATTATAAAGCTTCGAGACCGATTCCGGCAACTCCGTGATCCCCGTGTGATTGAGAGCCAGGAACCGCAAGTGCTTCAAACCTCCGACGGACTCGGGCAACGTCGTCACGCTGGTATTGCTCAGATCCAGTGACCTCAGACGTTTTAACGACGAGAGATCCTGATCTAGAATCTCCAGCCGCAGTTTAATCCTCGGCATGAAAATAAGAGATCGGAGACCTGGAGAATCAAAGAAGGAATCTGGATCCAATCTAAAGCTGCCGTCTTTAGGGTTCAGCAACAGATGGCGGCATTTACAGAGTGGGTCGCACATGTCTGCCCTTCTGACGTACTCTTCCTCGCCTGAGATGTCGTTCAGAAGATCCCAGATGAGCTTGGGTATAGAGTACTGCGTCCAGTCCTCCGGATCCTGAATGATGAACGACCCGGAGACCAGTTCGTCGAAATTTTGTAGACCTTCGTCCTCCTGGTCTAGGCGTCTCCGCTTCCATGGAGTTTCTCTCTTTGGTGGCGGCTCGACGAGTCCTTGCGCCATCCACAGTCGAACCATCTGCTCCTTGCTGAACTGATAACCTTGGGGAAACAGCGAGGAGTAGAGGAGGCAAGGTTTCAGGCGAGGTGCCAGCTCAAGGTAGCTAGACTTGAGCACAGGTCTAATATTTTCCTCTATAACCCAGTCCATGCAGTCATCCGCCCAGTCTATCTTATCACCGCGATGATGGCGGAAGGAGATGCCGAGGAGCTTCGCCGCCAGTGGCAGCCCTTGACACTGCTCCACAACCTTCTCACGCAGGTCTTCCATAACTGGGTGGTTCCCATCAGACGCATAGCGCTTGAATAGGCCCCAGCACTCGTCATCTGAAAGCTTAAACTCGAGGTACAAGGGGCTCTGGATGGTCTTTACTTTCTCTGCAACTTTTCTGTCCCTGGTGGTGACGACAACGACGCTTCGCTTAGAACAAGAGGAGAAAACCGAGTCCTTTAGGAGATCCCAATCCCGCAAGTGTTGGGGATGGAGGTCGTCCAGGACGAGGAACAACCTCTTATCCTTCACAGATCCTCTCAGAGTTTGCAGAATCTGCTCCAACTCCTTGAAGGGGCAAGCCGTTGAGGTCAGAGCTTCGATGACACACCGCAGCAGCGCCTTCGGATCGGAATCCCCGCCGGAAGAAGCCCATCCCGTGGAGAAGTGCTCCTTAACCTGTGGGTCGTTGTAGACGGCTCGAGCGAGGGTGGTCTTGCCTGCCAGCCCCAACCCCAGTATCGGGAATACCGTCACGTCCTCCGGACACTTGTGAACGAGGTAATGGACTATTCGGACCTTGTGGTCATGGTCGTCGCCCAGAAGCGAGCTGCTCGGCGCCCGGCCGACGGGCTGACTGCGCTGCCTCACATCTCCTTCCCCATGAATCATCATCCCATGGACGCTGACTTTTTCGAGCTTTCTCTTCACCTTGCGAATCTGATCGGCCATCCGGTCCCAGAGCTCGGGATCTGCGGTCATATTTGGGGATCCACCCTCGATTTTAGCGCGGAGCAGCTGCTCATACTCCCACTCGTCGAGGACGTCTTCGACGTTGAGATAAACCTCTTTGGAATCGCGCAGGAGGAGCTTCTGAGTCTCCGAGAGGCCATTGCTCGCCTCAGCCTGCTCGATTTGCTTCCTGAGGTCCTGCCGGAGAGCCTTGAGATCCTTGATTTCCTCGCTGAGGCTAGCTGGATCTGGTGAGGGGCCAGTGGACGGCGACCAGCTCTGCGCGTTCCCCATCCTTCCCGACCTAAAAAGTATCAGCGACCCAGAGGAGGAAGACGAGCCAGTGGGTGGAGAAGAGAGAAGACCACCCGGGACAGGAGAGCGAGGGGAAGCAATGGTGTGCAGCAGAAGTGGCGACGATCTTTGCCGATTCATAAAGATGTGACCCAGTCTCTTCTTCCATCAAAAGTCAAACGGTTTCTGAATCCTATCCGTTCACATGGCCTTGCAGGTTCCAGGAAGCAATACAAATGGTCAAGAGCCGCGTGGAAGACGCGTGAATTTGGCCCAACAAAACAAGAAGACAGCGAGAGCGGGCGAGCGAGCGAGTGTGAGAGAGAGAGAGAAAGAGAGGGAGAAAGGCCTGCGAGAAGAAGATCAGACAGAGAGAGTGAAGAGCGGGAATCATGGCGGTAAGTCTGAACAATCTCTTCTGTTTTCTGCTCGGCGGATTGGCCATGGCCTTTAAAACCGGTTTCTGCTCCACAGAGCTCTGAGTCGTCCGGCACCAACAGCTTCCCCGGAGTCCAGAAATCTGCGGCGGCGTCTACCGCCCCCGCCGCCGCCGAGTCGCCGGTAACCACATCGGGGACGAACTCATCGCGGGCTGCTCCGCTCTCCACCGAACACATGAACCGCCGCAACAACCAGACGCCCAAGAACAAGGCGGCGGAGTTTTTCCGTGAAATTTTCGGGTAATGATCGAAGGAAGGGGGGAGGTGTTGGAGGTGGCCCTGCGGTTCGATGGACTGCTGTAGAACCAGCGTGGATCGCTTGAGGACGGCCATCACTGGGTTTCCACGTGGCAAATAATATTTATTAACGGATAATAGTGGGCGTGGGATCGCTGGCGGCGGGCCGCAAATAATGAAATTCTTCTTTTTATAAATTCTGGCGAGATAATTTATACGCAAATATGATATTAATTTAAATCTGCCAGTGGCCAACTCTGCGTCTCTCGCTTCCTCTCTCGCGGCATCCTCTGACCAAGTCTCTTCCTCCTTCCGCCGCCTGTTTCGCCGGCGGCGGCGGCGACGGCAGGCTGAGAATCGGCTTGTGGAGAGGGCGAACGTTTCGCCGTCGAGTGGCGGTAGAACAGCACCGGGAAGTTTTGGAGTTGTCGTCTTGTCGGCTGATCTATGAATCTCCGGTTCCTGAACAACCTCCCCTCCCCTCCGCTCTTCCCCCTCTTGCCCCTTCCCTGGCGCACCGAACCAGAGCCCAAACCCGTTCCCTCTCCCTCCCCTCTTCCGTCTCCCAAGGTCAGCGGGGGAGGACTTTCCTTCGACCTCAGGGACGCCATCGTCAGATCCTTCCAGTCGCTCGTGTCCTTCCGATGGAACCCTTTCGCTCCCCATCTTCCGATCTCCCCTGGTAGATCCGCCCGTAAAGAGAGAGTAGAGCCCACCGGCTGCGCCCTGCAGCTCTTCCGACCTTACGTCGCTAAGGTGCCATGGCATGGGGGAGCTAGGGCATTCCTGTCGCAGTTGTTTCCCCGCTATGGCCACTACTGCGGGCCCAATTGGTCGAGCGGCAAGGACGGGGGGATGCCCCTGTGGGATCGCCGCCCCATCGACTGGCTCGACTTCTGCTGCTACTGCCACGACATTGGATACGATACTCACGACCAGGCGAAGCTTCTCCAAGCTGACCTCGCCTTCCTCGAGTGCCTCGAGCGCCCGCGGATGTCCACCAAGGGCGATGCCCATGCTGCTCACCTCTATAAAACCATGTGCATTGCTGGTAAGTGGAGGGATGCCTCGAGTATTCCCGTCTAATTGTTCATTGGGGAACCGATTGGTTTTGTTGATTCTGCTGGTTATGAGCTTTCTCGTCGTCATGGAGATTCGGCTGGTTATTTGTGGAAATAATGACCCGACCAAGGGAAAGTGAAAAAGGAAATTCCCTGATGGTCATCCTCTTCTGTGAGTTTTTGCAGGCCTTAGGAACATTCTCATTCCCTACAGGATGCAACTTGTGCGGATGCAGACGGGCCCCTCGTTCTTGGAAGTGATGAACAGCTTGATTGTGAAGAGCAGGTCATGTAGTCAAGATTCCGGCAAAGGGCTGTGACGATACTGAGTCCAGAAGGCTTGGGATTGTGGAATATACTCACGCTGCACAAATTGTAAATACATTTCTAGTTTTTCAAGTTAACATCACTCTTTCGCTCGCCAGGGGACGTTGTTCCCCGGTTTGTCTTGGCGATAATCTATGTGAGATGATGGGTTTGCTGAGTACAGAAGTGGTGTAGATATTGTACGTTGTCGAGGATGATATATTAAAGAGGATGTTTTTTCCTTATATTCGTCTCCTAATTTTTTTTGCTGTTGTTCCCCAATTGTTAGCATTTTTCCCGGTTATGAATACCTATATGCTGAAATACGACTTTGGGAGAAGTTTCACGCTAATCTTTCCGCGAGTAGCATGTAGAAATCGTGACATGACCCATATCATCTTAATTTCCAAAATAAATTTTGTAGTTCGTACGAATCACACAAACTGATGGTTTACATCAAGTATATGTTCAAGAAATGGCACACGTTGAGTTAGTTTCTACAGTACTGTGAAAGACGTATTGCATGTGCCAGAAGGCTTTTCTAGTCAGCGATGTCCAAGATTTCCAAGGAAGACGTTGGCTTTCTTTTTTCTATATTTTCATTAATAGTTTCAAACTGTCCCTGTTTTGCCCCATATTTCTCATTGCATGTTAGAATCCATTTCTTTTTAATGTCGTAATTTCTCTTAATTTATGGATGATGACGATTGAGCATTCTTTTGGGTTTAGCTATTTTTATCCATTTTTCAATTCTTACCTCCTTGTAGATGACCTTGTTCGAAAATGACTTGTTTGTGAGACTGCCCTGTATAATCTTTGCATGTATCGGTATCTGGGTAAACTGCCACCATTGTTTCTTGCGCATTTTCAAACTTTGTTTAAAGAGTAGACAGTGTTCGGAGTTTTGTTCCACTTATTGTGTGGCTGAAAATGTCTTTGTCTCACATATTGGTCACTTTCTGTATCTATGGTTGATGTTAATCTCCATTTCTCTTATTTGCATCACAGACAATGTGGGTCTTTTTTTTGCTTTCCTTACTGAAAATATGAAGAGTGTCTCACTTTCACTTTTTTTTTACTGTGATTGCTCAGAACATATCGATTCTCAGATCATGTTGTTCTCCATCTTAGCTATATCCGCCAGCCACTGGAGCGAGCAACAGAACCTACCCACCCCGAACAAAATTCAAGAATCTATGCACATGCTTTAAGAATCTTTGTGTAGAGGAGCCAATCCAGATGGATGGGAGCTATTCAACAAATACCCAGAACCTAATTAGGAACAGCTTTCAAATAGGCTGTACAGAACTGGGAAATTGGCAAATCTATTTTTTGCATCTCCTATTTAAACTCTGTGAGCATCTTTTATATCCACTGACTTTGACAGGTCGATCATACGGGTCCTTAAATCCTCCTGTCAGAAGATGTTTGTTGATATTTCATATCATTGACTATTAATTGTTATTTTTCGGTTTTCTAGCGGATAATGTGACGTGATGCTTTCCCAGACCAGGAGATCCATCTAGTGATCTTTTCTTCCTGCTTAAATTCCTTCCCATCTAAAGGTTGGGGAAGAATTAGAGTTGCCTATTGGATAGCATAGTAACTATGTGAGTGAGGAGACAGCTACCATCCTCAGGCCTCCATTGGGGAAAATGGTGTTGGAACATCACTTATGTGAAGTCGGATAACACAGCAACTGGTGTAAACTGGTCAAAGAATATCCCAGTCACCATTTCAGTTGCCACACCTGGTATAGCAAGTGGAAGACCACATTGTCTATGAGAAAAATAATCACATTCTGTACTGTATTTTCAAAATTTCTGCAGTTCGGTATAGAGATCAAGAGTAGCAGGATCCCATTGGAGTCACCATTTGTGATAATATAATTTTTCTCATGTGTTTTGATTTGAAGGCTAAACCTGATGCATGTTGTCTTTTTAATACTCTCAGGTTAATTTGTTCTCATAATGTTTTTGAGTCCTCTAATGGATCGGCCTCTTAGCATTTGTTTTATATTTCCATTCATTGATCAAATCACTCCTAACTATCCTTTTGACAAGCTGCTAGATTAACTATCCTAAGATGTTCAAGATAAATAAGTAAAGAAGCAAACTTTCTTTCATACAACTTTGGATCTGATTCCAAGAGAATTGATAATCCATGAGATGATTCTCGTTTCATCTGTTTCTTCAATGAAGCTCCATTTGAAGCCAGCATGATTCAGCTCATTTCTCAAGCTGTTTCAGTGTGGCGTGTTCGGAGTCCCTGGGACAAAACCCTTCTCTTGTAAAGATGAGCTTTTACGAGATCTGATTCTCAACTTCAGTGTACAAAGCGGTATGCTGGCTGTTCTAGATATTCAAGGGGAAATCCTGATACATTAAGCAGGTAATTGAAGTTATCTATATGATTTCTTGTGATCCATTTCTGGTCGAATGAAGTACACACATTATCCTTGATGTCCATGCATTTTCCCTCCTATCTAGCCATCCCCCTTGATCATTACTGGATATAAACCTGTTTCCAGTCAATCTCTTCCCTTTTTGGTATCCTCAGAAAGTCAACGACCATCCCTCCCTTCGTCGAAATTACTCAACTATCCTTCGCATATGAAGTGTATTTACAAGGAAAATCCCTTGATTCAGAGTGAAGAAACAGCACCTTTTGTCACAAAATGACCTGAATAGTGTCTGAAATTCTATTAGGTACTATCGCATGCTGATCCTCTTTATTTAGAAGTACCAATTAACTGATTAACGATTAAAACGATTTACTTATATTCATTTCAATTATTATTAATGCAAAATTTATTTTCCATATTTTTTGGATCGCTGTGTTAGATCACAGATTGGGCTTTCACCTCCTCTGATTTATTTTGGGAATCCAGTAAATTATTGAATTTTATTCATCTTTCATCAATCTCAAGTAGGACTCTTATTGAGGATCTTGTATAATGGGTAGTGCCACATCATCAGGGTTGCCTGATTTTATCTGGACCTTAGTGCTTGAAAGAGCAGTGAATAATAAATCTCAAGCCCTGGTCTCCTACAAGTTGGTGGAACTAATTGTACTTATGGACACATTAATGAAGAGATAGTAAAGCATTGGACAGGGAATCAATGGCGTAATAAGCTTGGAAAATTGGGTTGGTAAACTACCAAAAATAGGATAAAAACTAGAAATGGAAAATATGCTCATATTATTTTTATCTATTGCCAATTTAGGTTGTTTGAAAGTGGATTAGAATTTAAAACAATGACCTATTGATCTCTTTGTTTTAATATATTGGCATCTTAATTCCCCCTTTCCAAGAATATTATTGATAAAAATCTTCTTTCTAAACGTTGTAGTAACTATCAAATGGTGATTTTCAGAGCCTAGTCTTGATTCGTGATGAATGGGCTTCAAGAAAGTTTAAAGAACACTAAGAAAAAACATAGGGTGAAATTCTTTTATCAAGGGAGCACCAATCATGTCTTTTAGTGAAAATGGAGACATTTTGTTATTTTATTATTATATTTGTAAGGTTTGAAAAGAACCATTTGAACAAAAAACCATGGGTATTAGTAATCTTCCAACCCATTGATATAGCCCATCCACATCCCAATTCAAGTGGACCAAAAACCAAAGAAGCGTGAAGATTTGGTCATTATCTCTACATGGCCCATTAACTAATGAGCCCCAAAAAAAAAATGCATCATAAATTAGTTTTCTAGTTTTAATTTATTTTTAAACCTTTAGTCATTTGAACTTATTTAAATAGTCCTTAATTCAAAATTAAGATGCCATCATAACATGACTACCATTTCAAGGGTTGTCCAACAAACTTTTGGTCTATTTAAATGCCCTACGTGGTAGTCCTTGGGGCTTTCATTTAGTATGAGGAAATTTTCCTTTCCAAGTTTTATCTCATCGCTTGTGGACTATGGTGCTCTCTTCTTGATTCAAAGGAAGTTTCTTGTTCTTATGAGTCAAAATTATCCCCTTATGAATTCTGGGATTGAAACTTTGTTCTTTGGATTCAAGACAATAAACCTTCACATAGATTACATTTCTTGTGGATTTAATGGTGAGATTTCATACCCACATATCTCAAATTATGTCAATTGATATCCAAGTTAGGTTTCATATTTTAGTTTGTCTTTGAAGATGACATGAGGTAAAAAGTGAAAGATTAATAAGCATGAAAATTCTGATTTACCTCTTCTCAAATGATTTTTTTTGAATTTCAACAACATTTGGGTCATAAATTTGAAAAATATAAATGATACATTGAAACAAATATTATCTCTTACATCTTTTCTATATCTTCATTCACAAGCCTAAAACATTAAAAAAAGGAAATAATTTCAAATGCACCCCTCAAGAAAATATATCGAATGACACAAATGATTCAAAAAATAGATTAGAAGATGATGAAAATAGAGATTTTAGATGAATTAATGTACTAAGTTCCAATCAGAATTTAAAAATTCAGGAGTTCTTAAACTATATTTGAGAGGTTGAAAGATTTTTTGAACATATGAAGATTGATAATAAAAAAATAGGTGAGTTAGCTGATTATTGATTAAAAATTGAAGCATATGATTTGTTGGATCAACTTCAGTCTAGTGCAAGATTAAGAAATGTTTTAGTTTATATCAACAATATCAAAATATGTTGTTTAGAGTTGATTTGATGGAATTTAAGTCTTAAATAATCTTCAAATTCAAAAGTAGACTTAGACGAAATAATGGAAAAAGAATGACATTAAAATCAATTTTTAAGTTAAATGATATTGTTATAACTTCAAAATGGCTTGAAACATAATGATAAAAGAAAAGAAAACTAACTCTCAAACCTTAGACCATATAAGACAAGCTTAGACCAGCAGCCATTATATGTGCTCCAACTGCTGGACAAGAGACTAGAAATGTGACACAAAAATCTAGTAGAATACTACTTATATTAACAAAACTTTGTAGAACTATTTTTATTTACTTAGGTACATAAATGTCATAGATCTAATGAA